CTAGGCGAGTTGGTTCATTCTTCAAGGAAAACTGATATGCGCAGAAAGATAAACATGAACACGGTAAGACATATACGGACGAGCGCTAAAAGCGTGTGCGAGCAAAAGTTTATGTAAACAAAAGGGAGCATTGTCCAGCGCTTATACTCTCCGATTGATCTTCATCGCTGTCATTGTTTTGTTTACCCTGGTTCTCTCCCCACCCCCCAAACAAAAAAAAATTACACCAACCATCTCCTCCTAAAGGGAACCATGTGAACCAGCGCTGGTGGGCAATTGTGTTTTAATTTGTACGTATCCGTGCAAATCATAAGTATAATAATTATAAGTATATAGAAGTATAATTCATTTGTATGTGGAGTTGTGTATATATGTTGCGCAACGCATGTGCGATTCCCCTGCAATGTGTGTGTATTGCCGTGTGTGCGCCGCAAAGTGAACACCCAACGCTGCTAGGAGAGTCGGAGCGAGCGAGCGTCCCCAGAACACCTAGCAGCATGGCTGCGGCGGAAAGACAAACGAACGAGGTGCTTGCTTATATATGTTCGCCCTAGGTTCTATAGACGTTTCCAGTCGTTTCGCCGGCGCGCTGCACCATCATAGCTGTGGAAAGGGCGGGACCTCTTTGGTAAGGTGATGCAACTTTGCATCACCACGCCCCTTCGAGATTTTTGCACAGATCGCTCGGCGACAGATGCGAGGAGGTTGGTCGGCGTATCGCGGCGTCTTCAAGGGGGAGAGACGGCGCACCCGAGGAGTCCGTTGATGTTTGTTTCCTTCTTTTCGCCGGTTTCTGGCGCGTCCGAATGGCACCTGGTATTGTCGCCTTCGCTATAAAATAGAGGCGCGCGCTTTCTTGAGCGCTCGTTCGCGACAATTGCCTGCGTATCACTGACTCGGCACAGCAACGCCGGGTAATCTCACGCGCATTGGAAGCCGCTGTGTCCCAAGGCATCCCCGCTGACCTCCTCTAAGCAGCGTAACCGACCTCTCGGCCGCTTTCCTCTTTTGGGAGTAATAAAGTTTTGATCATTGCAGAATGAAATCTATACATACATATGAATATGTTCAGAGAATATATAGCTCAACCTAATGTTTTTTGCAGAAAGGTGTCTTGAAAGGCCAGTGTCGGTACATGATACTGAGAAGAACAGCGAGAGAAAAAACGGGACTTGGGTCATGTGCTTATTCTTTCTCTGTCCCGTTCCTTTCGTTGTTCCAGATAATATTTTTGTTCTTCTCGTGTCAAAATATAACGAGCTCAGTTCAACACACACCTGCGTAAAATTCAGCGGCCGAAATTTGTCTGCATATTTTTCTTTGTTATCCAGCCCGTGATACAGCGAAGAGGCAAGACATCGACGGTCCCCACGTAAGAAGCCTAGGCTCAGCCATATCAACGGATAGTTCTAAATAAAAATTTATTCCTCCTTACAATGTTCATTTTTTCCACAGACCTTGAGAATAATTGTTCAGGTTCCAAAACATACATCTGGAGTACATTTCATCAAAGTCGGCTTTGGTGCACTGTCGGCGCCAGTGGGGGTTAGGGGGGGGGGGAGTGATGGAGCTCCCCCCCCCCCCAAATTTCCTCCTAGCTGTCCCCTTTTGCCCTCCTACCGCCGATGAGCAAGCGTAGTGAAAAAAAAAACACAACGCATGTGTTCCCAGCCACCCTGAAGGAAATCATTTGATGACCTGGCCTGGGTTCCCCCGAGAAAAAAAATCCTGGCGCCACTCTTGCTTTGGTGGCCAGGGCACCCTATTAATTCTTCTCTTGAAATGTGTTGTATGATTGCATCGATGCTTACTCTTTCGTGACCAAGGTGTGCGTTTTGCTAGTTATTGAATTACGAACTAACTTTAGGACACCATAAGGACACTGTAAGTACAATATGCCAAGTAATAACTCACATATACATCGACCATGGTGACTCAAAAGCGAAAGTCTTCTCTTTTTTTTAACTGGACGTGCGGGCGTAGGTTGGTTTTACCCCGCCTCCCTGCGAGAGCTTTCTACACCTAAAGTGGTTTCGCATTGCCTCCAGGATCGGAGGCATTTCAAGCATTCTGCACCTCACCTAGTTTTGCACTGGCTCCGTAATCGGACCCTCTTTAACCAATTGACAACGTCATAAAACGTAATTGTAACGTCGCAAGCTTTAGTGATTTGTAACGTCGTGGTGAAGTCAACGTACGATTATGACTTTTCTTTCTGCGTCACTCGTGTTGAGGCCGTCGACGGTCTAACTTCTGCGTTTGATGGGGCATCTATGCAAGGTCTGTCTGATATTTTCATGGCCGATGCGGCTGCTATCATCACGTGATAATATCTTCTCAGGGGTTCACGCAGTAATCGACCCTACGGAACATAAAAAAATGACTGATCCCACGTTTCTCATTTATACTTTGCAATCGATGATATGCGAAGTATAAATGAGAAATGTTGATATGTCACTTTAAAATCAGCACAACGTTACGAAGTAGAGGTAAATAATGCCGCACATGGCTTCCGTGTCACGATTGTCATGCTTGGATGCGTCATTTACCTTCGTAATCTATTCACGTCGCGTGATACCAAATTTAGTATATGTGGAGCTAGCGAAACAGCCGCGAGCACGCTATGAGCGTGGTATGTTGTCATGTTCTTGCATGACACGCGTGTCAGGATTATCATGTTTGTACCAGTCATATATTTCGTCATCTATTGACGTCACGTAACACCAAACTTGGTATATGTGGAGCTAGCAAAACGGCCGCGAGCACATCATAAAAGGCCCAATATACTCCAATGTAGCGTTGACGCGAGCGCACGCTGGGCACAGCGACGCTACGTTAGCAAAACGCGAGCACTCTATAGTTCGACGCCAGACGCGACCAGTGTCCGTCGGCGCGGCCCGACGGCAACCTGTGCGAAATGCGACATGCTGCATTTCGCGCCGATGCGTTACCAAGATAACACTGCATCTGCCTCTTTTCGTGATGGAGGGACACCGGACGCACTGAAACGCGCATGCCTTAAAGCAACGCACCACGGCGCACGCTTGCGAGTATATTGCAGGTCCGGCGCCTGGCGTGGCAACGCCGGCGTGACGCGTCGAAATGAACGCTGGCGAGCACGCGCACCGCGTCACGTCAAAATGTATTGGCGCCTTGACTGTGGCATGTAGTCATGTTCTCACGTGACACGCATGTCATGGTTATCATGTTTGCACCAGTCACATACCTTTGTCATCCATGGACGTCACGTAATACCGAATTTGGCATATGTGAAGTTAGCAAAACGGCCGCGATCCCATCATGAGTGTGGCACGTAGTCATGTTGTTGCATAACACGCACATCATGATTATCGTATTTGCACCAGTCACATACCTTCTTCATCCATTCACGTACTGTAATACCAAATTTGGTAGTACGTGACGCCAGCGAAACTGTCGCGAGCGCATCATGAGCGTGGTATGTAGAAGTGTGGCAGCTTGGGCTAGTTGGTATGGCATGACGATAGTTATAGCGAGAGAACAAAATGACGACACAGAGACAAGAAGGACACGAAAGACACGAGACACGAAAGACACGAGCGCTCGTGTCTTTCGTGTCCTTCTTGTCTCTGTGTCGTCGTTTTGTTCTCGTCTATAACTATCGTCGTGGTATGTAGTCATGTTACATGACAGCATGTCAAGATTTTCATGTTAGGTTCTGTCGCATATGTTTGCCATGCAATCATGCCATACCCTACCAGTTTAGCCACATGTCATGTGAACGAAACCACCGCAAGAGCTGCAGGATCATGAATTGGAAATCATGACATTCATGACAAGATTTTTATGTTATGACTAATCAAATATGTTCTTCATACAGTCATGTTATGCCATACCAAGTTTGGTATCGATACAATTATCGAAACGTCCAGGAGTGCTAAATGTTGTACGCGGTTAGATAGATAGATACGCCCAATGTTGCCGAAGTTCGCTAAGATATGCTTCGCATTTAATATCTTATCTATACTCTAGCCTGTTTTCAAGTGGAAATGACTCAGTGAGTCAGTGTGCCACCACGCTGATCAAAGTGTTGCATTACACATGTACACCGCTTGTTTCAAGAAGTGTGTCCAAAATTCTCGAAAATCAGATTGATTAATATGTGGGGTTTAACGTCTCAACACCCCCATATGATTATTAAAGACGGCGTAGTGGAGGGCTGCGGAAATTTCGACCACCTGGGGTACTTTAACGTGCACCCAAATGTGAGCACACAGGCCTACAGCATTTTCGCTTCCATCGAGGATGCAGCCGCCGCAGGCTTAATTCGATCCCGCGACCTGCGGGTCAGCAGCCAAGTACCTTAGCCACTAGACCACCACGGCGGGACTCTCAAGAAACATGAAAATGCGATGGTTTGTCCGCATATCCAGAATTACTTCTATAACCGCAGGCGTCTTCAGATGGTTAAATACATAACTTTGGACAGTAATTAAGAACGTTGTAATAATTATTATTTTTAAAATTTATTTTATTAAGCAGCTAGACCAAAAGGAGGATTGAAGTTCTTGATGCGAATAACCCATTGTAGGTTTCTGATCTCAATAAAGCGGTCTATAATAATAATTTCGAAGACACAGAACTGAACAAAATTCAGTGGCGTAAGCAAAACCTAAACGCGCAAGAACACTACTGCTGTGTTTTTCTGAGGCTTCCAGGATGAGTCACCGTCGTTATACAAGTTTTCTACCGACTTGGCTGTGTGGTTTTGCAGGCGGCGCTTGCAACGGCGATTGATAATTATGGCAAATTGAATGAAAAGCATGACCTCCGAGATAAAACGGCTTTGCTATCGATGTCAAATAGCAATTTCGGAGGCCACAGTTTACTATAGTACAAACTTCACACAAGTTGGTGACGTCACGGCTGGCACGTTTTGCACAGTTTTGGGCACAAGCCGTTATTTCTCTGGCAACGCTGAAAGTTCAGTATGACGGTTGAGCTTAGCGGAGAATTTGCTTCAGCCGTTGGCAACAGTGAACTGCAATTTTCTCAATGAGTGGGCATCCGACCTGAGATTTCCGTTCCGCGCCAGCTTGTGTTATTTCCTTTGCTTTCACCGCAAGCTGTAAAGATGAGCGCCGATTTCTTGTGGAGCCTCAAGAACGGCGACCTCGATCAAGTCAAGGATTGCGTCGAGCAAAGGTGCGTACTCGTAGCGGAAAAGCCTATGCCGCCCTGCTGCTTTCGGTGGTCTCGGTTTACTGGCGTATCTGTATCCCTTGGCACCGTTGACACATTATCAGCCGTTTGCCGAAAATATCGCCGTTACAGTACGAATCCTCCGCGCTCTCGCCTCCACACGTTTATTACCGGACAGAACCGTTGCGGCACCCTTACTAATTTGAATTCGCTGCTGAGTTGCGAGCAGCGCTCTGTAGTTTTACAGGGATCGACTACATAACCGGCAGAATCGTTAATGGTTGCGCTCTATATGCCTTAATTATGTAACTATAGTTGCCCCTAGTTCTTCCTGTACATACTATTTAGCATTCTTATTCTAAACGCCCGTGTCAGCGAATCGGTGTGCTGTAACCAAAGCTTTTGTAGCTCAGAGGCGCCGGAAGCGTCCCACTTAGACGCGGAACGCGACCCAATGCTTTTCGTTGAGTAATAATTCTGGCGCCGTCCTAGCTTTTGTAGTGGGCCAATTCCGCACTGCCAAAACATGCGTTTCAACAGTTAGCAGGCTTTAGAACATACAGCATTTTTATCAGAGCGTGTGTGTTTAGTTGGTTTTAAATTTTGCACATTTTCGGGCCAGACCTAACTTTGGACCTTGAAAGTATTTTAATGTTTGTCATGTTATAAGCTTGACATAAGCTAGCCAGGTTTCAAGGATAGGAATAGGAGCATATTGCTATCCTGGAAAATTGTGATATCGTGCTCATAATTGCCAAGTTCTCGAGCACGAACTTAAGCTGACGTTTCTTCTAGTTGCCACTTTCTGTCGCAACACAATAGCATGTGGTAAACAGCGGTGATTCTTTCAGTATCAACAAACTAGTCTCCAAAGAAGTATTGCTGCAACTCCGCACTGTATCCCGCACTTGACAAAGAGCCAAAATGAAGAATGGACAAGGTATTCGAGGTTTCTGTAGCGGCGTCTTGCATATCTTTCTTTCCCAGGGTTTGGACGTGAACGCCTCCATTGACGGAAGACCTCCACTACATTACGCTGCTGACTATGGCCAGGCCGATGTCCTCAAATACTTGATAGACAAAGGTGCTGATGTAAATGTGAGTATCGAAACTGGCAGAGTGTTAAATGAAAGAAGGATGCATCATTACTGCTGTGTTAAGGCCATTTGAGCTGGAATAGTAATTCGGAAGCTACTGTGTGATGTGCAAAAAAGATTCTGTTGCGTTCTGTGAGTGTTGAAAGGAACACCGTGAGAAAAATGAGGGGATCGAAAAGCTCTACCTTTGTTAGTCCTGAAATTACAGGAAGCAATGGACAAGTCAGCTGTCATGTTTTATTGATGCATGTATAATTATTTGGAAATACTTCTTGGTGGTGGAAATCGAACACACATTCACTCCAGTATGTGTTCAGAGCTTCAATACTTCACCTGTAACAATGCTGCTGTCCTCATTTCCAATTTCTTGTGTTGTTTTTCATGAATTTAGCCGTGAGGAGTGTTAGCTAGTTTGTGAAATGCCCTTATAGTTGCAGTTGTGGTAGGATATCTAATCTTAGAAGAAGTTAGCTGTCTATTACAAGTCCATCCTTAAGAAAGAAAAGATGGGACAAAAACGATTGGCCTTTACCAGATGTGAAGTTATACTCCCTGAAGTTTCTCCTGTGAACCTATTTTTCTGTCCTTGAAATCACTTCTGGATAAGCCTTGATTGTGTACCAATTCAAGGGCCATCACCTTCAGAAGCCTAGTGAACATGAAGTTGCTTAAAAGGTGCAGGCTTTTTTTTTTTCTTTTTTCAGAGTCTGAGTGTTTTTCCACTTTCATCTCATGGAAAATTACTAATCTGCATACAACTGAAGATCTTCTTTCTTTGTTTGTGCCACTTACAGACTGAGGTCTCGAGCTTGCAAAAAGATGCGACACAGTTGTCTTCAGAATGTGCACTTTCATAATTAAGGGGCTGTGCCACTGTTAGCACTTTATCGGGAAGAGATAGGACGCACAGCGGTTAAAGTCACGCATGAAATGAACGCAGAGAAACCCACATGAATGTATGCTCGAATGCCATTTTGTTTCTGCAACGACAGTGCACCCAAGTCCTCTGATGACGGACCATTGCCAATCACTGATGCTAATCACTTGATCTTATCAAAAATGCTAGCTACTCAGTTTTAGCCTTCATATGTCGGCACAAGCGTAGAGTGTGTCTTTGTCTGTTGTGCAAGGCAGTTTACTATTTGTACGTGGCAGAGCTTCTATTTTTTTTCTGTAGAAGAGGACAAAAACGTTCGGCTTGATTTTAACTGACGAGCTGATAGTCAGGCCAGCTGTGTACTGCGCGTCAGGGGCAGTACACAGCTGCCAGAAATTTTTTTCTGAAGGAGCGGGAGGGGGGGGGGGTCACACAGACTTGACATGAAGTGGGGGGGGGGGGGGAGGCACAGGCATCAGCTTTTCTCTGTTGTGATGTCACTATCAGCGGTACTTTAAACAGTCATGAGAGTCCCCCTCTCCCCAAGCATATGGTTGTAAAGAGAGTAACTAAAGGTACTATAAGAATGATTGATATGTGGGGTTTAACGTCCCAAAACCACCATGTGAATATAAGAGATGCCGTAGTGAAGGGATCCAGAAATTTAGACCATCAAGGGTTCTTTGGCGTGCACCCAAATCTGAGCACACGGGCCTGCAGCATTTTTGCCTCCATCGAAAATGCAGCAGCTGCAGCCGGGATTCAACACAGAGACCTGCAGGTTAGCAGCCAAGTACCTTAGCCACTAGACCACGGTGCCGAGGCAGTACTGTAAGAAGTACTCTAAATACAGTAAACGACAGGTACAGTGATTGCTGAAGCAACGGTCTCTCGCCGCACCATTGAATGGACAAATCTTCGAAAACGCATTATTGCGGTTACCCACCCGATCGAAGAAGACATCGTTAATCGTTATTCTTTGTTAAGCGTAGAGGGCGTAGTGCTCATTGGGGTGAAGTGTGTTTGACAGGCCAAAGAGGGTACCGCTTACGACGAATGAGAGGTATACGCAGCATGTTTTTGTACATTCATAGTTATATTTTAGTTTTGCTTTCTTTGCTGAGCGAATTTCTTATTGTCGATGTCTGTGACTCCGTGCCTGTGATTTTTATATCAATCATTATATGTCAAGCCGCCCTGACACAGTGGCAGCTTTTAGTCGACATTTTTTTACTTTACTGCGTGCATCCAAGCATGTTTGTGATTTGCAATACCAAATTTTTTTGTAATATATGTCACATGTTGGCAACACTAACTTGCACACGTTATTTTTTGGGCAGACATTCAGTTGCACTGTGACTATTGATAGCAATGAAGTGTTACAATCAAAGGTTTTATCGTGCATACTGCAAGGGCAAGGTAATCACTGATGAGAAATGTTCGCTTGGTCTCAATCAAAAGTGCACGTGCGACCGGACTATACCTACTCACATAAAACTTGCTCGCTGCACACATGCGCTAAAACACTTGAATACGCGCAAAAAACGCGGTATGTTCTCGTTTTTTTTTTTCTTTGCTCTTTTCACTTGGCTCTCCGAAACGATAATGTTGCGGCAAGGTGTCTTTCATTGTTTGCAAGCGTGCAGCCGACTTTTCTCTTTACCTGAACAGATTCAGAACTGTACAGAACATTTCACCACGCAGCATACGCGCATTCATGTTTCTAGCACTTACACCAGCGTGAACAGGAACAGCCTTGAACCACACAAAATCTTCAGTGATCAGTTCACCAGTGATAGCCCAAATGGGCTATCACTGGTGAACTGTCACACTGTAATATGGTGAAGAGTTACACTGTAATATGCTTGAACGTGGCCTATAAGACCTTAGAACTGTGTCTGGCTTTTACCATTAAAACGAATCTCTGCCCAGTGAAAATTACCGTAGTGGTCGACTCTGGCGAGATTTGTTCCGGCGGGTATGAGTATGATTACTGCTTGAGCATTAATCCCGTCGCCGAGTTCAACCTGTTATAGCCCAAATGGGGCTGACAGTATAATAAAATGAAAAAAAAAAAAAGAATGAAGGAATGAACTCGGGAGTTGCTAAGAGCATAGTGCACCATAATTCATTTCTCAGAACGCGTGAACTGAGACGAGCACTGCCAGCGCATGCAACACGAGTTTACATACGCTCTACTGTGCACCGTCCATGCCTGTTTGTTGTCTGTTTTGAGCATTCTGATGTGAGTCGCTGGAATTTCACTACTGCCATCACCTCCTTCGCGTTCATTCACATTTGTGGTATTTCTTCACAATGCGGCAGAAACTACCAGCCTTCCGAATGCGCAATCACAAACGTGAGACATCTTGCGCACAGAGTAAGATACTGAGTGAACGCGACCTTACCGGCACCTGAAGGGAAGCAGAAGGAATGTATACCCGCGAATCTTTCCACCAGGCGAGAAACGAGCACTAGTGTTTAAGGCGGAACTTTACCAGCCGACATGTATCGTCGCTAAAGTTCTCGTTTCTCGCATTCAGGGTCACTGCCCAAACATTGCTGAGCTCGTTGCTTCCTAGCAATGCGAAGTCACCCTTTTGAAATTCGCTGTCTACATGTATTGCTTTGTAGTTGGTGTCCTGGGTTGATTAGCTCTCTTCTATGAGACTCGATGGTCGCGCAAAACCGCTGTACCGTACAACGCTTGATGATTATTGCCTGAAAAGTGATGCTGCTTTCAGTGCACACTTGACAACTCGCAAAAATGAGAATGCCGCTTGTCACAGGCAAGCAGCTTCATCAAAGTAACATGCCAGTGGCTGGCGTGGAAGAGCACTTTAGGCTTTCAGTATTTCTGGCCTTTTCTGGACTATTTAATAGACCATTTCAATGAGCGCTTTAAAAGGCATCGGCACACCTTAAAGATGATTTCTTCGTTTCTGCCACCGAACTTTTCCGAATCTACCACTCTTCCCACTGCCGAGAAGTTTGCTGGCGTGTATACTCGAACATTATCTCAACTTCAGTATTGCAAGGGGAGTTCATAGTATATGCTGCGAAACGGAAGCGAGAGAAGCGAGAAACGCTGAGCATGTCTGCAATGCAAGCGGTTGCAATTGCGCAGAGGTATTCTTCCCGAACGTGCACAATCTTCTAAAGATTACGGCAATTCTGCCGGTCAGCGCAGCTGAACCAGAAAGCTTTTTTTTATCGCTAAGACTCCTAAAGTTCTACCTAAGAGCTATAACAACACATGAAAGATTGTTTGGCATCGCTCTCTGAACATCCACTGTGAAATAAAAGTCCGCCCAGAAGACATTCCCTCTGTTCTTTCATGGAAATGTAGTCGGCTTCAGCTGAATGTGTGTGTAATATCAACCATAAGCGCCAGCTCAATTAAGGATGAAAGTTAACTGAAGTTATTCTTGAATTGACATGTTCTGAACAACAGTAAAACATAGTTGTTAGTGATCAATTAATGGCGTTAAACATCTCATGAACAACTTCAATGCCAAGGTAGGGAATAAGCTGGCTGGAGACCAGGCAGTAGGAGATTATGGCATCGGTACTAGAAATGCCAGAGGGAGGCTATTAGTAGAATTCGCAGAACGCAATAATTTACGGATCTTGAATACTTTCTACCAAAAACGAGGGAATCGCAAGTTGACATGGAGGAGCTCTAATGGCGAAAGTAAGAACGAAATAGACTTTATAGTGAGAGCACACCCAGGCATCGTGCAGCATGTGAAAGTGCTAGGGTCAAGGTACGATGCAGTGACCATAGAATTGTGTGGTCTCGAATTCACCTAGTCTTGAAGGAGGGACGACATAAACTGATAAGCAAGAAGTCAATCAATGAGCTAGCACTGAGAGGGAATGGACAGGAATTCAGAGCCTCACTTCTGAACAGGTACTTGGCTCTTATCGAGGAAGCCTTAGTGTTGATGCAATGAATGATAACCTGGTGAATATCATTACGGAGTGTGAAGTAGAATTTGGAGGTACAGTACCTAGACAGCACACTGTCAAGCTTTCCGAAAAGACGAAGAACCTCATTAAAAAGCGTCAAAGCATGAAAGCCTCAAATACAACAGACAAAATAGAATCGCCAGAGCTTTCGA